GGGCTGGAGGGACCTCCGCTGCCCACTGGCCGCGGACCGCGGTGGGGCGCCCATCCTGTGGATGAGGAAGCTGAGGTTCAGGTCAGGACTGGCCAAGGGGAGTTTAAACCCAGGACCGCCAGCTCCCAAGGCCTCCTGCCTGGCACAAGAGGGGCCTTGAGGGACGGACGGGACGGTGGGCCCCTGGCTGCTCTGGCCCAGCTTCTGAAGACGGGCGGGCGGGGGCCTGAGCCCCTGGGGTCCCGGCAGGCGGCGAGGAGCTTGGTCCTGGGGGCTGAGAAGGGCTCGGGGCCCGGGGATCTCAGGTTTGCACGGTAGCTGGTCACCCAGGGTCCAGCTCAGCGGCTGCTTCCTGAGGAAGGTTAAGGGGGGCCCCTCAGGGAGGCCAGGCGAGGATAAGGGGGGGCTCCCTGCCACCCACGGCTGGGTGACCTTGAGCTGGTCCCCTAGTGTCTCCTGTCACGTGGGGGCGGCATGAGGGCCACCCAGGGCTGTGGTGAGGCCGGTGGCCAGTGCGGAGCCCCGGGCAGGGCCTGGCGCGCTCAGAGCCCCGTGTTCCTGTTGTGTCTGCTGGTGGCTGTTGCCACAAACACCTTAATAAAAAGGGTGGAGAAAGGAACGGGCCGTTCCCACGTGTCCGCAGTTCTTTCTGTGTGAGGACCAGTGGGAGCCAGAACGGCTAGGGACCCTCTTTCCCACCTTATTGGTGAATTGGCGGGGGGGGGGGGGGGCGTTCCCAAACAGGTGGCAGATGGCACTCATGGGCCAGTCAGGCTCACCCTTAAAACCAGGGGCGTCATCTTGCAGTGGAGTAAGGTGCCCGGCCGGCGTGGCTCAGCGTCGACCTATGAGCCAGGAGGTCAGGGTTCGATTCCGGTCAGGGCACGTGCCCGGGTTGTGGCTCGATCCCCAATGTGGGGCGTGCAGGAGGCAGCCAAGCAGTGATTCTCTCATCATGGATGTTTCTCTCTCCCTCTCCCTCTCCCTTCCTCTCTGAAATCAATAAAAATATATTTTAAAGAAAGAGAGAGAAATGGAGTAAGGTGAGTAAACCTTGGGCTTGTAGAGTCAAGAAATCGTTCTGTTTGTCTGGGGTGTGATGTGAACAGGAAGGGGAGGGATCGGAGAGGCAGGGCCTGGGTCAGACCTCGAGCCCTAATGCCCAGGCTGGGGGGCAGGTTGGACGTGTGGTCTGGAAAGGTCCCCTGGCTGCAGCGTGGGGCCAGGCAGGGAGGCCGGTCCCCGGGGAAACTGTCCAGGGAAGAGATGTGAGGCCCAGGTGGGGCCTGAGAGGGTGCCCTGGAGGGAGATGTGGGAGGGAGAGAAAGCACAAGGCTGGCTCGCTGTGCCCGGCACATAGTGGGTGCTCAGTGGGTGCTCTGTGGCCTAGCTGAGCGACTGAGCACAGCATTTGAGACGGGGAGTCTTTGGAGCTCCTTGGCCTGTTCCTGGAGGGAGCTCACATGAAATGGACAGGTTCCCCCATTTGATGCTGGGAAAGACACTCAGGTTCCTCCCAGTCCTGGGCACCCAGGGAACAGCTCCGCGTCTTGTCACACAGGATCTGGGAGCCAAGAGAACCTTTCATGCCCGCCGGCCCTCTGGAATGCTCTGCATCGCTAATTTGGAGAGGAATTTCCTGTTAAAGATTAATTCAGATCTCTTGAGATACCCGCTCTGAACTCTGGGTACAAGGTTCTGCCTGGCTGTGTTCGTGGTCATGACGGTGAGAGCGAGCATTTATTGAGCACTTACTATGTGTCAGGCGCTGAGCCAAATATCCTTAGCACTTCTGGATACAAACTATGATCATACCCATTTTTGAGAGGGAGGAACTGAGGTCTGAGCAGTGACGTTGCTTGCTCAGGTTCTCTTAGCTGGGAAGGGGCAGAGCTGGGATCAGAACTCCATTCATCTAATTTCAAAATCCATGCCCTCCGTCTCCAAGGTGGCTTGTCCCCTTTGTCTGGGTCCGCAGTTGTTGAGAAGATGTAGTATAGAGACAAGAACCTGAACTGCCCAGACAGACGTGGGCTCAACCCCTGGGCCTGCTCCGCCCTCACCAGGGGAGCTCAGGCAAGTCACCTGACCTCTCTGAGCCTCAGTTTCCTCATCTGTCAAATGGACTCTCAGTGCCCACTTTGCAAGGACAGTCAAGGCACACAATGGGGCTGTAACACACCATCTCCTTCCTCACCCTGCCCCTGACTGTTCCAGGATGCCCCCCTGGGAGCCCCTGGGAGCCAGGCAGGTGGGTGGGAGGTAGCAGGGGCAAATCTAGACTTGTGCTTAGACAAAGGACGGTATCTTTCACCCGTGAAATATTTACGAGCGTCAACTACGTGCCAAAGCTGTCTTTCCTACTTTCCTGATTTAATGCTTAAAAACTAGGGCTGGAGCCCGGCTACCTGGTTCAGACCCAGCTCTCAGTAAATTCCCTCTCTCCTGGCCTCTGTTTCCTCATCTGTAAAATGGGGATGACGGTAGTGCCTGCTTTGTCCTCAACACACCAGTGACTGTTTAATTTATAACCAATGTCTAGTGCCCGATGTTAACTTCGGTGGTGTCATAGCCTCGCCTCCCCTGGAGGTGGCGGGGGGCAGGAAGGCGGACTCCCATTTTACCGCTGAGAAAACAGACTCAGAGAGAAGCAGTTTGCCCAGGATGCCCTGCTGGCTCCTGGCAGAGCTGGAATGGAAGCCAGAGCCGAGTGACTGGTCCCCTTGGGTCCCTGAAAGCCCAGTGACTGGCTTAGCGTCCTTCCTGGAAAGCCACCTCGGACTCACCCCCTCGGAGTCTGTCCCACCTCGGGCCACATCTCAGCTCTGCCCCTCACTGCTGTGTGACCTCTGTTTCTTGGGCTGCCACCTGGGGTTTGCTGGAAGTCAGAGCTTTGCCAATGTGCGGGGTATTCGGGGTATGCCAGCTGCCACTCCTGCCCCGCCCGGGGCACCCCCTGCCTTCGGTGTCATTGGGTCCCGTGAGCTGGCACCCTGACTGGTGGGCACAAGGACAGGAGGCCAGACCCCTATTGCCACTGTGACTCCAACTTCCTGCCTGAGCCCTTCCTGATCACCGGCTTCTCCGTTCTGCCCCGAGCCCTGGCCGCTGCTGGCTGTGTGACTCTGAGGAAGTCACCCACCTCTCTGAGCAGGTTTCCTCATGGGTGAGGGCGGATCACAAAGCGCATGCTGGGGGCATAGGAGGCCCTCACAGGTCTGCCCCAGATGAGCTCAGGGGACAGGAAAAGCCACAGAAGGAGGTGGGGCAAGAAGAGGGGGTGACAGGCGGGCCATTGACCAAATGGGAATGCCCTTCTTTTTCTTCGGTCATGAGTAACGTCCGCCCTGCCGCCCGCCCGGCCGCCCGCCCTGCCAGCCCGCACACAAAGGGCTGCTCAGTCTCACCAGGCGCCTGTTTTTCCTGAGGGTGGAGTGGCCTGGGCTACACCCGGCTGTCCAGGAGGTGCTGACCGCTCCTGGGACAGCTCCTCGTGTGTGTGTGTGTGTGTGTGTGTGTGTGTGTGTGTGTGGGTGTGTGTGTGTGTGTGTGTGTGTGTGTGTGTGTGTGGGGTGTGTGTGTGTGTGTGTGTGTGGTGTGTGTGTGCGCTCACACTTCCAGCATACACCCCCGATGGGCCGCGTGGACTCAGGAGACCCCAGCGGGCACGGGGCCAAGGGGCCTCGGATGGGGACCGTGGCTGGCTCGCTCTATCTTCCCTTGGCACGGAGGGGAGGCGTGGAATACATAGACAGAGTGGATGAATGAGCGAAGGGAGGAGGGAGGGAGTGGACGGACAGATCAACAAGGCGGGGGTCAGGAAAGCCGCCCGCTCACACTCGGGCCCTGGCTCCGAGACTGAGTGAGCGTGGCGTGTCCTGGCCTCTCTGAGCCTCAGTTTCCTCGTCGGCAAAAATGGACTCATGATAGCCTTCGCCCTCAGAGGGCATTGGGTTCATGTGGGCACTCGGTAAGGGATCTGTGAGGGGGGTTGGCTGGATAGTCGGGTCCAGGTTCAGCTTGGAGGTCGTCTGCCCCGGGGAGAAAGACTTTGTCTTTGATTCCCTTCATTTGCTCACTCGTGGAGTCGCTGATTTGGTCCCTTGGCGAGCGCACCTGAGCAGCGGCTGTGTGCGGCCCTGTTCCGGGCACTGGGGACTCGGTGGTGACCAGAGCAGGAGAGGGCCCTGCCCTCCTGGAGCTTGGGTCCGAGTTCCCATCATCCCACGGGCAGTCCTTTGGGGCGACATCCACCAGTGACGCAGTGACCCAGCGACCCAGCGTGGGTGCTGCAGAGGGTGAAGCGCTCCGCCTGGGGTCGCACCGCTGCTCGGCGGCAGAGCCAGGATTCCAACCCCAAGTCTGTCTGATGCGTTATCAGCTCCTCACCGCTGTCCTGCGAGTCCCAAGGGGGGTGGCACTTGGCCGGGCGGCCCGGAGAGAGGTCTTCATAGGCCCCGAAGCGCTGAACTCAAATGGCTTATTTATTTAATTCTTAGCTCTTTTTAAAAATATATTATTTACTAGAGAGAGAGAGAGAGACAGAGAGGGGAGTGGGGGGTTGGAGAGAGAGACATTGACTTGTTGCATTCTTTGGCTGCTTCTTGTATGTGCCCTGACGGGGAATTGAACCCACAACCTATCAGGGTGGCACTCTAGCCAACTAAGCTACCCAGCCAGGACTCAAATGTGTTTAAAGCAGATGGTTGGACTCCAGGCACATTTCCTTCCTGCTGAGTTGTGACCTCAGCTGGGTCTCTTGGTCTCTCCAAGCCTCAGTGTGTTCATCTGTGAAACGGGGTAACAGTGATGCCGACATCAGATGGCATACCTGGACAAATGTCAGCCGCAACCTCCATTCTCCTGGGACTTCATTTGTCAGCTGGGAATGAAGGCGAGAATATCTAACTTCCCGAGTTATTATTTGGGTCAAAGCGGATGGAGGTGCTGTGTGAATGCACGAATGCGGCAGGCGCTGCGGAGGGCGGGCCTCGGGCTCTGGCCTCAGCCCTAGTTCCCGCTGTCAGCCAGCCTGCTGTTGGCACAGGCTGGTGGTGCGGCGGGCGGGGCGGAGGGAGCACCGCACACCGGTTTTCTGTTGCCTCCGGCTCCCTTCCCCAGCCCCACCCGACCGGTTCCTTCTGAGTGTCTGCCCTCCTCTAGGCTCTGCAGGTGTGGTAGGTGGAGGGTGTATGTATGTTGGGGTGGGCGTCCTCTCCCCTGGCCTCAGTCTCCCAGGTGGGAAATGGGCCAGCGCCTGTCCTGATAGCTTCCCAGAGGCGCGAGAGATGGAAATGAGGAGGTGAGAAAACCCAGCAGAGTCACGAGCCCGCCTTGGGGCCAGGAAGTCTGGGTCCCAGCGCCTGCTCTGTCCTGCCTGCTCTGGGCTTGTCTTCCCAGCTGTACATGGAAGGAACGTTAACAGCAATAAGAACGCAGCTGCGTGTGCTGAGCCCTCACTGTGTCCCAGGCTCTGTCCTAAACTCCCCAGTGATCACATTTACTGCCCACAGCAGCCCGTGGTGTAGGAGCTGTCCTGGCAGTTTTTTAATGTAAAGCACAGATCTGCAGTCCAGCAAATAATTACAAAGCAAATACGGACTCAGCAGTGTTCCCCCATTTTACAGATGAGGAAACTGAGGCCCAGAGAGGAGATGTGACTTACTCAAGGCCACCTGCCGGTGAGTGGCAGGTGGGGAACAGACCAGGTGGTCTCATGGTTCCTGAGGCCACACGGTCCTGTCCGGGGGAGGGAGGGTGGTCTCCGTGACTGTCCTCCCTCCAGGAGAGGGGCTGGGCCAGGGGGAGGGGCGTGGCGGCTCCGAGACCACGCTCCTCCTGGGCTGGAGCTGGCAGCATCGCGCTCTGAGCAGGACTGAGTCTGAGGACGGGCTCCTGGGCTGCGCTCTGACCGGAGGGGGAGGCCGGGACAGAGCGGACGCCTCCGAGGAAGGGCAGCATGTCCTTGAGCCCCTGCGGTGTGCCACGCCCTGTATGTCACCGAGGAAACAGGCTCCGGGAGGGGAAGCCATTGTCCAAGATCGTGGAGCTAGCGGCTGACCGAGGGGCCATTCACGTACCAGTAAGAACAACGTGTTCTCCGCAGTGCGCCGTGCAGGGGTTTTAGTGCGCGCAGAGCTGTGCCGACCGCACACTGTGTGGCTCCAGAACTTTTCGTTGCCCCAGAGGGAACCCGTACCCATTAGCTGTCACCGCCCCACCCCCAGCCCGGCAGCCAGGCTGTGCTGTCTGACTCCGGACTTGCCTGCGCTGGCCGTTCCCCGTAAGTGCAGTCCTGTCACTGGTGTGTGCCCTTAAACCACTGCGCCACACTGCCTCCCACTGCTCCCCCTCGCTGGGGCCTAGGACGGGCGGGTGCCCAGGAGAGCTGGGGGCGGGGGTGGATTTTGTGAGCACAGTTGGGATCCCTCCAGCGCGGGCCTGCAGAGCGACCGAATGTTTGCGGTGGTCACACCGACATGGCCCTCTGTGGGCCCGGTGAGTCACCCCACGCTGCCCAGCTTGGTGGTGTGAGCTCGAGGGGCACCCTCCCGGGGGGGGGGACCTGACAGGACACTGGGGCTCTGTCTACCCTGGACAGGCGGCCACTGTGCAGCAAGCAGGAAGCGGGCTGGGCCCTGCTGGGTAAATACAGGCGGCGGGAAGGTGCCCAGCGTGGCGGGGTGCCCCCCCTGCCCCCCTGCTGCCGCCACCCGGCAGCCTGGC